GGATCTATCGGGAATCGAACCCGCAGTCCCAAAGTAAACAAACAAGGGGGGGGGGAGCTACCGGAATCCCACATCCGTAGTCCCAATGTAAATGCGCAACCACAACCAGAAGATATTCAGAAATGAAGTACAAAAGGCAAACATCAGGTAGTACTAGCCTAGTATGCTTCACGTAGTACAATCAAGGCAACTTAAACAATTAGGCAAGTTAACTCAACTAAACATGCTTTTCTAATCTAACACATGTTATAGCTACAAGTAAAACAAGGCAAATATGAAGGAAACTCAGTCTCAATTAAGTAAAAACCGGGTTTTTCAACAATTAGCTCAAGTACGCGCTCGTCACCTCACGTACAAGGCACTCAATTACCACATATCAAATCCTAAGGGGAAAGGTCCCCCACACAAGGTTAGACAAGCCACTTACCTCGAACCGGCTCAAAATCAACTAGAAACCACGCCTTTGCCACGAGTATCCGACTCCAAATGGCCCAAATCTATTCAATACATTTACATATCATAAATAACATCGCAAACAACTGGTTTTGCTATTTAATTCAAAGCTACGACGTGAAATTAGGTGAAATGACCAAAATGCCCTTCAGGCCAACGCCTCGGAATCGAATAATTTTCACATTTTCAGAAACCTCGTACTCTCACGAGTCTAACCATATAAAAATCTCAGAAATCGGAGGTCGAATGCTCCCTCAAAATCCAATAGTTTAGACAATAAACTTTCACCCAAATTCTTCCATTTTTGATCCTTAATTCGAGTTTAAAAGGTGGATTTAACTACTAAATGATAGAATATAATTAGAAAGGATCATAGAAATGTTACCCAATAATCTCCTCTCCAAAATCCTCTCAGAATCGCCCTTGCCCGAGCTCAAAATTGATTTTCAAACTTATGAAATTAAACCCTCGAAATTTCCTATTTCTGCCCAGACATTTCCGCTTCTGCGGTCCCGCTTAAGCGGCAAAATAACCGCTTCTGCGGTTTCTCATTAAAGGGGGAAATTCCGCTTTTGCGGACGCATGACCGCTCCAGCGGTTCCGCTTCTGCGGAAAGATGACCGCTTCTGCGGTCTCTGAGGGGAAGCCAGATAATCGCTTCTGCGATGAGGAAGCCGCTTCTGCGGTTCCCAAACCGCAGAAGCGAAAATACCATAAGGGAAAACATACCAGCTGCAACAACTTAGAAAATTTCCCCGTTAACCACCCGAAATCATCCTGAGGCCCCCGGGGCCTCAACCAAAAGCACCAATACCACCTAATACCTTATTCGAAATTGCACCAATCCTCAAAACACCCCAAACAACACCGGAAACCCGATTAAATCAAGGATTCAAGCCTAAGAACTTCAAATTCTAACCAAATACGCTTTCGATCAAAAACCTAACCAAACCTCGTCCGAATGACCTGAAATTTTGCACACACATCCCAAATGACATGACGGAGCTACAGCAACTTCCGGAATTCAAATCCAACCCTAGGATCAAAAACTCACTATCGGACCGGAAACTTCAAAAATCCAAACTTCGGCATTTCAAGCTGAAATGAGCTACGGACCTCCAAATAACATGCCGAACGCACTCCCAACCCCGAAATCACCTAACGGAGCTAACGGAACCATCAGATTTCCATTCCGAGGTTGTCTTCACACTGTACCGATTACGGACCGTCTTTCAACACTTAAACTCTCATTTAGGGACTAAGTGTCCCAAAACACTCCGAATCCTAACACCGATCGTCCCGGCATATCAAAATAGCAGAAATGAACTTAGGGGAAGCGGTAAATGGGGAATCAGGGCGTAAATTCCAAAAACGACCGGCCGGGTCGTGCTCCTACACTTAAACATTCGTTCGTCCTCGAACGAGCATAGAGAACATACCTGAAGTAGTGAAAAGATGCGGGTACTGGCTGCGCATATCCTGCTCGGTCTCCCAAGTCGCCTCCTTGGCTGGCTGACCCCGCCACTGAACCTTTACTGACGCTATGTTCTTTGACCTCAACTTTCTGATCTGCCTGTCCAAAATAGCCACTGGCTCCTCAACATAGGATATATCCTTGTCCAACTGGTCTGAGCTGAAATCCAACGCGTGCGACGGATCACCGTGATACCTCTGGAGCATTGAAACATGAAATACCGGATGAACTCCGGCCAAGTTGGGAGGTAAGGCAAGCTCATAAGCAACCTCCCCAAATCGCCTCAAGATCTCAAAAGGGCCAATAAACCTCGGACTCAACTTTCCTTTCTTCCCAAACCTCATGACGCCTTTCATAGGCGAGACCCAAAGCAGAACCCGCTCACCAACCATATATGAACATCACGAACCTTCCTGTCCGCGTAACTCTTCTGTCTAGACTGGGCTGTATGGAGTCTATCCTAAATCGTCTTAACCTTTTCCAATGTATGCTGTACCAACTCTGTACCCGATAGCCTGCCCTTACCCGACTCAAACCAACCCACCGGAGATCTACACCTCTTACCATATAAGCCTCATACGGCGCCATCTGAATGCTGGATTGATAACTATCATTGCAAGCAACTCCGCCAGTGGCAAGAAATGATCCCAAGACTCTCTAGTTCCATGATTCAGTGTTTAACTCCTCATGCACCTTACCGTGCTACCACAACTCAGTTGAGCACACCAGCTCGATCAATTCTGAAGATATTCCTTTTTATTCAAGCAAATAAGCCTTAGACCTAATTCCAACATCCGGAATTCTATGCCCGACCTGTTTACAACATAAGATCACT